GGATAGATGGGTTGATGGGTGGGTGGACAGATGGGTGGGTAGATGATTGGACGGATGGGCAGATGTATACATGAATGGATGCATGGATAGATGGCTGGATGCATGGACAGATGGGTGGATACATGGACAGAGGGGTGCATGCATGGCAGAGGGGTGGATGCATGGACAGACGGATGGATGCATGGATAGATGGGTGGATGCATGGACAGATGGGTGGATGCATGGACAGATTGGTGGATGCATGGACAGATGGGTGGATGCATGGACAGATGGGTGGATGCATGGACAGATGGGTGGATGCATGGACAGATGGGTGGATGCATGGACAGAGGGGTGGATGCATGGATAGATGAGTGGATGCATGGATAGATGGGTGGATGCATGGACAGATGGGTGGATGCATGGACAGAGGGGTGGATACATGAATAGATGGGTGGATGCATGGACAGATGGGTGGATGCATGGACAGAGGGATGGATGCATGGACAGATGGGTGGATGCATGGACAGATGGGTGGATGCATGGACAGATGGGTGGGCAGATGGAGAGACAGAGCCTTGGCACGGGTGTGTTGACTTGGTGAAATAACGAGTCTCCCACACTCACAGAAGCTCTAGTGGCTTTGGTCTCCCTCAGGAACAGAGCCTTATCAGATTCCACCACTGGTTAGTAGCCCAGAGATTGTCACACTGCGGGGCAAGGAGCCAGGGTAAGCCTGGGTAAGAAAGGCGTGTGCCTTTCTTCTTTTGGGAGTAGGTCAGTCATGAAAAGGAAAGCATGTAAGTGAAATAAGCCAGGCACAGAAAGACAAATACCGCACATCTCTCTGACATGCATGATCTACAAAAGGACTCACTGAGGTAGGGAGTAGAGTGGCTGTTGCCAGAGGCAGGGGTGTGGGGGATGGGAAAAGGCAAGAAATGTTGGTCAAAGGGCACAAAGTTTCAGTAGGATAGGAGGAGCAGGTTTAGTTATCTACTGCACAGCAAGGTTACCATAGTTAATAATAATGTATTAACTATGGTGACATAATTAATTGCTAAAAGAACAGATTTTAAGTGTTCTCACCCACAACAAATGATAAATTGGTGAGGTGATCGACATGTCAGTTTAGTCTGATGTCACCATTCCACCATGCACATATATGTCAGAACATCACATGGTACCCCATAAATACGTGCAGTTATTAGTCAAAAGTATTTTTAAAGAGGAAAGTAGATCAGGCAGACCCACTGTCAGGCAGATACTCTCGGGCAAATTCATGTTTTAAGGTCTCTGTGAAGGTCGAGAATATAGAAACTGATTTCTCTAAAGCAATCTTTGCCTCTGTACTGTCTTGAAAGTGGGTATGTAAGTTTGAAGACAGTTGATAAAGAGTTCTCATTTCAAGACATCCCATGGGGTTTGGAGTCTTGCCTCATCTTCTACCCTATTCATTCTCTGCTACACATCCATCCCTAGACAATAATGTAGGATAACTGTGCATTTATATATATGTAATTATACATTATGCTTATCTTATACATCCCTTACATAATAAATTTATGATAAAATTTTCCTAGCATCTCTAAATAGGTAATGCTGCACTGCCCAAATCTTTACCAGGATCAGTCATCAATATTTTAAGAAAAAAATAAAGATAGAAAAAATGTATGTGACACAGGGATTTCTTGACAAATTGGCCATTCTGGGCACCATGTTGCCAACTTCTGTATACATTTATGTAGTTATCCACGGAAAAAAAGAATTTAGCACTATCAAGCCAGTTTAGCCACATACAAAACATTTAAAGCACTCTGCCACAAGAAATCCCACATATGTCATACGGTTCTTAGGGATGGGTACATATTTATATGTGTGCCTCTTGATTCCTGTCTCACCCTCTGTAAAACGATTTAGGACTACAAGACACAAAGACACATGAAAATCAAATGTCCAAGTTCTAGATGAAAATCCAAAAGTTCCTGTCCCGTGGAAATGTTGCCCTTACACATCCCCACAGAAGCTGAATGGTCGGGGGCAGAGTGCCGGGCCCCATGGAAAATGGGACACTAGGGACAAGGACCAGCGAGGTGGACCAACTGGGTGAGTCTGTGCCCCCAACTGTGAACATGATCATAGGTGAGAGGATACTCTGTTGAAATGCAGTGGCTTTCTGAAGACCAAAGGGAGAAATCTCTGTTCATCAAAAATCAGACAGGTTGAGTCTACCTTGTCTGAAATGCTTGGGGCCAGAAGTATATCAAATTTCAGATATTTTCAGATTCTGTATTATTTGCATATACCGTGAGATACATTGGGTTTGTGATCCGAGTCTAAACACGGCATTCATTAATATTTCTATACACCTTATACGACATCCTGAAGGTAATTTTATGCAATATTTTTAATGTCATATGTGACCTCTCACATGAGGTCAAGTGTGGAATTTTCCACTTGTGGTGTCATGTTGGCACTCAAAAAGTTTCGGATTTTGGAGGATTTCAAATTTCAGGTTTTTGGAATGGGGTTCCTTAGCCTGTATAGTCTTCTAACAACAGGATGAGGAGCAAATTACAGTCCACCGCCCTTTTTTGTAAATAAAGTTTTGTTGTAATATGACAAAAAAGCCCACAGCTGGGTGCTCTGCTGCCTCCTGTGCTTCTGGGAGGGGTGTCCCGCTGGGACCGAGCCTTACTGCTCGGGTCAGCAATCTTAATAACCTCCCATGGCCTTCCCTCCTTGCCAGGGACCCTCCCTCTGTCGTCTGGAATCACCACCCGAACAAACCACCTGTCTCTATCTCAGGCTCTGCTTTCAAGGAAACCCAAACTAGGAACCTGGAGCTCGTAGAAATTTCCTTCAAGGGAAACTGAGTAATTCAGAGAACACTGGAATCAGAGGTCTCACCTTAGGGTGAGTGAACAGAAATGCAACCACAGTTAAACCCAGCAAAACCTACACAGCAGTTGACTGGGATCCCCTTAAAAGCTGACTCTCTTAAATGCCAGGTGCAGTGGCTCACGCCTGTCATCCTACCACTCTGGGAGGCCAGGGTGGATCAGTCAAGGTCGAGAGTTCAAAACCAGCCTGAGCAAGAGCAAGACTCTGTCTCTACTAAAAATAGAAAGAAAATAATTGGCCAAAAATATACATAGAAAAAATTAGCCGGGCATGGTGGCGCATGCCTGTAGTCCCAGATACTCGGGAGGCTGAGGCAGGAGGATCGCTTGAGCCCAGGAGACTGAGGTTGCTGTGAGCTAGGCCAGGACACTCATGCTAGCCTGGGCAACAAAGTGAGACGCTGTCTCAAAAAAAAAAAAAAAAAGACAAAACAGTTGACTCTCTCCAGCCACTTACTGATATTCGCCCAAGCAACTACTTAACATGACCAAGAACAGTCTGATGAGTTCTCCCACTTGAGGACAACACCTTATATAAGGTAGGAAACAAGTATAAAGAGAGGAAAATAACCCAGCAAGCGAAGCAGCGGGTCAGATCCTAAAATAGGACCACGCCTGAGTCTTCTCCGGAAAATGGGCCAGCCTGGCAGGGACGGGGAGCCACCCTTCGGCAGCGTCCGGACGGGAGGGCCGAGGGCTCCCGCACCCCTGCCCACCCCGGGAGCACCAGGACGGCCATTTATAGACCTGCCCGTGAGGTTGCAGTTTCTTCCGGAAAATCCTAAGCGAGCGTTTTAAGGACTTCCGAAAAGCCGTTCCGCATTTTCTCTTCTCTCTTTACATTAAAAAGTTAAGTGAAGCCTCTCCTACTTCACCTTAAAATCAAAACTGAAACGTCGCAAATGTAAAACGTTGATAAGTCAAGAAAATTCCGAAGCATCATGACTTAAAACAAATCTGTGATTTCCTCTTTGTAGAAAAAAAAAAAAAGTATCGAAGGAGGAACGAACATTTCCTCTACATCCGTGTCAAGAAGAGGAAAATTGGAGTTGTGAGAAATTAAACAGATCTGAGGCCAAATGTCGCTCCAAAATACACGCTTCCAGCGCACCTACTGCTGCTCGCGACTCATTCATTGAATACGTACTCCGCGAGTCACTCGCGAGGAACGCTCTGCTGGCTGTAGGAGATGATGGGGAAGTTCAAGTTCACGGCGTCAAGGAAACGCCGGTGAACAGGAAGTCAACTCCAGTACAGGACACACTTGCTACCTGGGGCTTGGTTCAGAGCACGGGGAGGGGGGAGGAACACCTGGCCCCCACAGCACAGCTGGACGCCTAGATGGAATTTCCTTTAATACTTACCCAATATCACCTACCAACAGCAGAAGCCAATCAGTATTTTTTTTTAAGAAGTACACACTGAATTCCTAAATACCAGGACAGATATTAGCATAATTCCTCAAATTATGTGTAGAGTCTTAAAATAATATAATGTATTGACAGCTTTGTTTCAGAGAAATACAAATCAGGTGCAGCATGTTCTTTGAGAGGAGTTTAAGATGTAGCCTTCTAAAAAATTTATCCCTAAGGAGATAATCATTGTGCACGGGCACACTCTTGCCTTTCTTCAAGTTGGAGTGAGCTAAATTACGAAAGAAAAATGTGACGCATAGATAGGACTAAGACCACTCGCGTAGTTAAGAACATTTTAATAGACACCAACAAGCCACAAAATTCTAAAGTCAGTAAAGAACCGGTTGCGAAGGAAAAACACGCGGCCGTAGGAACCAAAGGTGGGCTGCAAGGGCAGAGGCACCCTGGCGACCAGAGAAGGCGGGCGCGTGGCAGGGGCCGTGGCCGCACCCACTCCTGGGGAGCCCACTCTGGCCCCAGGGCCGCCCCTGCCGCCTCCCGCCCCTGCCAGCAGCAGGCGACCCAGCAGAAACCTTCTGCGTTTAGCCAGGGCCGGTGAAGGAGAGAAATTCAGAGACACGAGAGGGCAAAGGCCAGACTTTTGGAGGCGCAGAGGCTCCATAAATGGGGAAAGTGACTATAATAGCCTTGCAAAAAATAGCTTCCCCTAGATGGAGAACTCTAATGACACCCGCTTCTTTTATTTTTTTTTTTTAGTTCTTTCTCTTTCCAAAAATTCTCCCCTTTTATTTTCAACACATTTCCCTTTCATTTCTTGCCAAAAATTGCTGGAGGACCCCAGCCACTTCCTGCTATCAGTGTTTCCAGAAGCTGAACTTCCTGTCACTACAAAGGAACACCTTCCCCAGCCAGATGGATGCTCCGGGCAGCCTCTGGCTCCACTTCCCGACCACGCCGCCCCAGCGTGGCCGCCAGGGCAGGGGCTGGCATGTCGGCAAAGGCCGTCTCGGGGCGGGCTCCGCATCCGAGGAAAGGACAGCGTGTGCGCTGGCCCTTGCTCTGTTCCACGCTCCATGGTAAACACTTGATCCAATACCATCTCATTTAATCTTCACAGCGCTATCATGCCTGTGGCAAAGCAAGCCCTGCAGCCCAGGTCTGCCGACCTCCAAACCCAAGCTCGCGGTGAAGCACTAAGCTAAACTGCCTCCTCGATACTTGCCTAACAGGTACAAACACACGCACCGCGTTTCTCAACACGCCAACCGTCCGCTCTTCCTCACTGAGAGGTTGCCAGTCACAAGGCACAAGGCAAACACTGACCAGTGCCAGCAAGGTGCCTGCAAAGACCGAGAAAGGGAACAGGGGTGAACTGCATCTCTTTCCAGCTGAAGCCGATGTCCACCTGAGGAGGGCAATTAGGAAAAGTCTGGGTCACCCCGAAACCTGCTACTGAGCACCTTGCTCTACTAGCAGCACCACACCGCTTCACACCACACCGCCGTGCAGACACAAGAAGCCATAACAATTCTGAACATCAAAAATTTGGCAGGGACACATGTAAAAATAGACCAACACGAAACAAAAAGAAAATTCAAAAACCACTTAGGAAAAAAATACAGACTTCCTAAGGACGGCCCTGACAAAAGGAACGGAACAGTCACACAGAACGCAGACGGTGCCGAAGCTCTGCAGTTGCAGTCGGATGGCATGAGAAGGAAAATTAAACTGGGGCACTGTTATGATTAACAAAGAACAGCCCTTAACATGAAGACATCCCCAGCAGCTTGCAAAGCCCCGGCCGGCTTCACAGTGTGCTCCGTGGGGTGACGGGGCCAGGGTGCCCTGTCCCCACCCGCCCCCAGCCCCAGGAGCCACCCCAGGGAAAAACAGCTGTCATCATCGGGGTCCTCCCCAAAACACAGTTTATGATGAGGACGCGGAGCCCTGAAGGAGGAGGCCTCGGCGCAGGCAGGTGGAAAGAGAGTATCAGCCCGGGCCACCTCCATGGGGGAGGAGCTGCAGGGGCAGAAGGCTGACGTGGAAGGTCAGGAAAGGGTTCTCACAAAATCCAGTAAGTAGGAAGGAAGTAGCAGCTAAAATAAAACCAGTGGGTGGGCTAGAAGGAAATAATATTAAGTGATAAGACAAAGAAAACCGTCAGCATTAGAAGCAGGACACAGGAAAATGAGCGGGGTGATGCCCAGCCCAAGGGGGCAGAGCGAGTGGGGGCAGGAAAGGAGCCCCCCCAGACACCCACAGAGACAGTGTGAGCGCTGAGCCCCAAATAAAGTCAGGGCAGAGATCAAACGTGGGGATCTAAATAACCGGGTGTCACCACAAAGGCCCGGCCGAAGGGAAGGTGCTACCCACCCTGGCCCGGCCGGCGGGACGCTCTTGGAGGGCAGCCTCTGGCCGGGGCGGGGGCCCAGCACCTGGCACCCAAGGGCTCCCGCCCGGCTCCGCAAGGAGCTCAGGAAGGGATGCAGACGCCCCCACTGCCCCTGCTCTGCACGAATGTCCAGATCGCTGGTCGCCACATTAATCTGTAATAAAGTGCTGAGCCCCCACTCAGTGGTATCAAATGTAAATACCACCCACCGGAGGCGACGTTCGCACTCACTTGAGAAGTGCTAGGATCTGAAGCTCACGCGTTCACAAGGAAGACATTCTTGCCAAAATGTAGTAACTTCTACCAGATGAAGCGGGCTGGGCAGCTCTCCAGCAGTTCGAACAATAGTTCACATCCTAAATGTGAATGTGTCGCCTGCATCAGTCAGAAATTACATGCAAAGACAAGTGGAGCTTTCTTTTTTCCATCTTCAAATCTGTGCATGCCATAGAAAAGGAGTTGGTCACAGCCATGAGGGGTACCGATGCATGCAATGTTGTTTTGTGTTTTTTTTTTAATACTCATGGTTTGACATTTGGAGATCTTGTGTAGGAGAAGGAGGTGGGAGGCGAGAGGAAGACGGAAACCAACCCAACAAACTTCAGGGGCCTGAAACTACCGTCTCAACAGGACGGCAATAAAAACACGACAATAAAAAAGATTATGTCCCGAACAAAGTAAGGCAATGTTCTCTCGACTAAATGCCACCTCAGTACACTGTTATTCATTTTAAAATTTAATTTTTTGGATAGGTAAGAAGTTATATCATTCGAAAATCAAAAGCTACAAAACGGAGTCCATTGGAAAGTCTCCCTACAAATGTTGTCCCCCACCCGGGTCCCTTCCCACCTCTGCCACCCTCTGCCGCCCAGTATTACTAAGGGTTTACTAAGGGTTACTGCTGCAATGTTACTTACCCAGGCCCCTAACCACAGACCTTTAGGTTTCCAATGTTCTCCTTCAAACAATCCGGTGCTATATTAATACCCTGTTAAGTCATTTTTCCTATGTGTGAGTATATCTGAATAAATTCCCAGAAGTTGAATTACTGGGTCAATGGGCACATGCTGCCAAACTGCCCTCTTCAAGGGCTGGACCAATTGATTCTCCCACCAGAAATGGACAGAAGTACCTGCTTCCTCGCAGACTTGTCAAAAGTGCGTTAGGACATTTATTTATGTGTTTGTTTGTTTGTTTGTTTATTTTGAGACAAGAGTCTCGCTCTGTCACCCGGGCTAGAGTGCTATGGTGTCAGCCTAGCTCACAGCAACCTCAAACTCCTGGCCTCAAGCCATCCTCCTGCCTCAGCCTCCCCGGTAGTTGCGACTACAAGCACAAGCCAGCACACCTGGCTCATTTTTTTCTATATTTTAGCGAAGATGAGGTCTCACTCTTGCTCAGGCTGGTCTCAAATTCCTGACCTCAAGAGATCTTCCTGCCTCGGACTCACGGAGTGCTAGGATTACAGGCATGAACCACCACACCTAGCCACGAAGTTTATTAATATTTGCAAATCGGACTGGTGAAAATAGTACCTCAGTGTTATCTTACATTGCATTTATCTTATCATGAGTTACCGTTGAGCATTTTTTCATGTTTTTAAAGAGCCACTTACTTCCTTTTTGCTATGAACTTTCTGTTCATTTCCTTGGACTAGTTTTTACTGGTGGTCATTCTTTTTCTTAATCGTTTCTGAGAGCACTTTTTATATTTTAGAAGGTTAGCCCTGTGCTAAGAGATGAGCTATAACTGTTTTTTCCTAGGGTCGAAGTTCAGGGACAACACACAGTTTGCAGTGCTGGAGCCCCACACACGCTGTGGGAAGTAGGGAGAGGGGCCAGTCGCTGCATAGGGGCTCCGCAGGAATTCCCTGAGACCTGGCTGATGGCATTTGGAGCCATAAAAAGGTGTTTTCATTTTGCTTGTTTGTTTAACATAGGTTAACTTATCAATCTTTCCTTTTCTTCTGGATTTTGAGTCACATTCCAAGGTTTTCTCCACTGTAAGACCAGAAAGAGATTTCCTTATTTTATTATTTTTATTTATCACATATTTAAATATGTGATCCATTTGGAATTTATCCCAAAGGTACAATGCAAGGAATGATTAAATTTTATTTTTTTCTAGATCACTAACTACTTATTTGTCTCCAAATCCCATTTATTCAGTAGTCTATCTTGTCTTCTCCCATGTGAAATGACAGTCTTACAATATAGTATATTGCTTTAAGTGTCTAGGTCTGTTTTGAGACTTTCTTACCTGTTGCATTGATTTGTCTACCTATCCAGGTGCCAGTACCACACTGCTTTAATTACTGAGGCTTTATACGTAGGTCTTTAATCTGCTCTTAAGAACTAGGTGATATATTTAATCATGAGAAACAAAGACATAGTCCTAAAAAGGCATGATGATGACTGACTGGCCAAGCATGCTTTTAAGAGTAAATTTCTGGTCCTGGGAAAAAAAGACAATCTGAAAACGTATGTAACCCGAGAGCAACAGATACAATCACTAAATCCTGGAAGCCACAGTAATCAAGCCCTGCTGGCTCGCATTTTAGATGTGTACGCTGCAAGCTGCTAAAACCACATAAAATCACATCACATACAAGTAAGTACAACGCGAAGTCCACATACTCATCACACTGCTCTTCCTCCTCATTCTGCACCCACCGACCTCCACCCCGCCCCGCAACTGTGCAGTCACCTGCTGGTCTTTTCTCTCCCAGCACAGCCATCTGCTCTTCATGCAAAACTGCTTCTTACGCAGTGCTCAGCGACTTTAAAAAGTCCAAATATGCTCATATTTTTATAAATAATTCATCGTACCCAAACAGGTGGCACTGCTTCAGCCCTTTCTAAGCAACACTTTCTCTTTGCTACGCAGAAAACATTCTCACCAAAGCGCGAAGCTTTCTATCACTGGCCCCAGGAAATGCAAGCTGAAGCATCCGGAAGGCTCTCAACTCTGACCACCCTCCTTCCCGGCCACTCCCGTGGCTGCTGCCTGCCGACCCCGGGCCCAGCAGCTCAGGCACGTGAACACCTGTGTTCACAGCAGCTCGAAAGCCTTTTGTAATCCAGGACACATCACATACTTGGATAACATGAAAAAATAATAACGAATCAAGTAAAGTTTCAGTTGCACCAGCAGATTTTACAACCACATTGTTTGTTTCTTTATATATTTCCTTTTAGGAAAATTAATATTTTTAAAGGGTCATTTTAATCATATTCTCCCACTTTAACACCTCCACTTACCAATTCATTCATTGGACTTATTGTACTTGGCAATGTGCCAGGCACTGGGGTTAAGAAGAGGGATAAAACGTGCTTCCCTCCGCAAGGAGTGCCCAGGAGAAGGGGCGACCAGCACAGAAGCGGGCAGCCCTGGGCACCTGGCACTAGGGAAGCACAGGTGAGAGCACCATGGCCCCTGAGAGGCCTGGGGAGAAGGAAGGGATTGCGGAGCGTGGCAGCTGGCCACCGAGCGAGCGGAGAGACTCAGGTCAGAGGAGATGCCGTGACTCAGTGCAGACGGTTGTCAGCTACCAGCAGTCTGGTGCCTAAACCACAGCACAGAGGGGGCAAGAGACGGGGTAGAAAGGCAGGAAGGGAGTGCAGGGCAGGGTTCATCATGCAGGGAGCCCCACAGGAGCACCAGGAGCTCAGATTACATCCTGAGGGTGTGAACGCACAGGCACACCTGCTCACCTGCATGCCCACGTGCGTGCCCACACTCGTGCCTGCCCACCTGCATGCCTGCCCACCTGCGTGCCTGTACACTTACTTGCCTGCCCACCTGTGTGCCTACCCACCTGCACACCTGCCCACCTGTGCACCTGCACACCTGCATGCCTGTACACCTGCATGCCTGCCCACCAGAGTGCCTGCCCACCTGCGTGCCTGCCCACCTGAGTGCCTGCACACCTGCATGCCTGTACACCTGCGTGCCTGCCCACCAGCATGTCTGGCCACCTGCGTGCCTGCCCACCTACATGCTCCTCTTTTGCCTGGTCCTGATCCTTCATCAGACAGCAGCTCCTTGAAAGCAGGGAACAGGTCTGTCATGACATGCATACTGCCCAGGACTAAGGCAGGGACTGGACTGGTACACAGCACACACTCGGCGTTGGCAGGTCACATAGTCTAGCCACTCTGCACTCCATGGCGCCTCCCTGCCCCTTCCCCCAACGTAAAATGTGAATGGTGTCCTGAGGAAGCCCTGGTCTGCCTGCCGCGCCAGCTCTGTCTCCCACTGGTCTTCTGCATGGAGCCCCCACCAGCCTCCAATCATCCCCTTCATGTTTCCCGCGTTCTGGCTGCTCCTGGCGCCCCTGCCAGGGCCTCTCTTCTCTCTGGAATCCTCCCCCATCCAGCGCCACATACTCTTCCTCCCTCCAGACACCACTCCAGTTCCATCCTGCTGGTTCCCTCAACAGTGTGTTTTAGAGCTTGGACACGTGCACACTTTCTGGTTTGGTGTATTTTTTAAATGCAGAGAGTAAGTGCATTTACCGTGTGCCAGCTCCTGGTCCAGCCCACACTGCACACCAGCAGGGGCTCGGTCTCCCGAGACTACTGCTTCCCTTATGAAGAGCACCCAGTCGCACCTGCCACCCATCACCCACCTTGTTCCCTAGCCCCTTCCCTGCTCCTCTCCTGCCCTGGCCAGCTGCCCACCCCCACACCCGTGTCCCCTCCCCGCTCACTCTCAGATGGCCACAGTGCCTCCAGCAGGGGAGGGGGGAGGGGGGAGACGGGGGGGGGGGGCTGGGGACACTGCGCGTTCCTTCCCCGACCACCACAACCACGTCCGCACCTGCCGCAGGCTTGCTCAGGCCCCTATGGGCGTCCACGGCCGCCTCCTGTCCACACTTTCTACTCGCCTATCTTCTTTGAGGCTTGTTTCCACCCTTTTTTCTCTCTTCAAGCTCCCTTTCTTCAACAGCTCTAAATTCTCGAGTCAGTCCTTCAATCCTCTTGGGAAAAAGCCAGCGTTTACCTGCCGCCAGCCTGGGACTCCCCCCGTTGCCTTGCCCTCCCTGCAGACTAAGACACCCTGTGTATATTTGTCTGGCCTCAACTCCTCACCCACCCACACCGGGCTGCATCGCGGTCACTCCACCGCAAATCTCTGGGCAAGACACCGAGGCACCCAGCTACTGGGACGTACCTGCTCCCGGGGGCTCCTGGCCGCGTCCGTCCTCGGGCCCCTCTTTTGAGCTCCTTGGTGCAGCGCCCTGGTCCATCTCACCTCCTCTTGCCAGGTCACTCCCTCCTGGGGTGTTCCATGGCTCTTCTTTCTTCTCCTGTCATTTCCTCTGCCTTCTTCCCGTCCCACTACTCATCCCCGGTTTCCGTTCAGAACTGTGGTGCTGCAGAGTCACCAATCCCTATTTCTAGTCTAGTCCGTCCACAGAATTCCAGGCGGGGGTAGGGGGGTCCTTTCATCCATCACATGAACGTGAGTGAGTTGAGCACTCGGGCTGCACCAAGCAAGTGCTCGGGAACCACCTTGCACTGCCGCCCAGGAAGCCTCCACACTTCACACGAGCATCATCCGCATACTCCCCGGGGGCGTCCACGCATGACTTCAGACTCCACGGTCACAGTCTTCCTCCTCCAGTCACCACCAGCCCTCTGGCTCCCAGACTTTGTTTAGCCAGCTTCCTTCCTGGCATCTCCACTAAGCTGTGCGGTAGGCAGCTCAGGCCTGGCGGTGCCAAAGGGGATCCCAGCCCAGGAAGTAGCGCCACAACTTACCCGAGCTTCCAGCTCAGCCGCCGGCAGGGATTCCCGAGTCCGCCCTCCCTTCTCTCACATCCCCCGCCCACCTGCAGGTCATATACACGAGCCCCCAAACACCTCCGGACCCATCCACTGCGCTTCACGTCCCTCACCACCACCCCAGTCCACGGCACCGTCATGTCTCGTCCAGACTACTAGAGGAGCCCCCTGGTCCCACAACAGCCCCGACAGTCACTCACCAAACTGCTGCCGGAATGAGCTTCTGAGATCACAGATCATGTGTCAGCCACCTGCTCAAAGCCTTCCGAAAGCTTCCCCTTTCATGTGGAGTAAAACGCCATTTTCCCCCTTATAAAACCCTGATCCAGCCCATTTGCCTTCACGCTTCAGCACGTGCCCTGCCCTGCGGCCTCTGAGCCTTCACTCTGCTGGCCTCCGAGCCTCCCCTGCCCGAGCGCCCTTCTCCTGCAGCCTGCGCCAGGGGCCA